TGTGGTTAAGAACTTAGGAAAGTAGAATGCTTCCTTTCACGGATGTTGCAACTAAATAGTGTAGTCACTATTTATTAATTTATTCTTTTAGCCCATTATGTCAAAAAAAAGAAAGTGGGGCACAGGGATGCAAAAGACGTGCACAATTTGCAGCTTCGATGGTGGAGTCAAGCAAATTGATGAGAGCTTTCCTTGCTGGAAGTGATGACATCTATAAGCCAGCATCTGTTCCTTTTGATCACAGCAAAGAGGTCAAAGTGCAAGATTGTGAACATGCTATTTCATTTGAAAAAGAAAACAATGAAGAAACTATTCTCTGACCTGTTGATTCCACACCTGATTCCACTTGTTTGATTCCACACCTGATTAAGCCATCGTGAGCAATTGGCCCAAGTGATTAGGTTTGTTGACATCGACTTTAAGATAAGAAAAGTAGAACAGAAGTCAAAGAGTCATTTATTGACTTTATACAGATAAAGGAAAAAGACGCTGCCAATATTGAGAAAACAATAAGCACAAAATTAGAAGCAGATGGAATTTTATTGAGTGATTGTTGTTCACAATGTTATGATAATGCTACTGTCATGTCAGGTCATTTTTCTGGCATTCAACAAAGAGTTCTGAACAAAAATCCAAAAGCAGTGTTTATAAACTGTGACAACCATAGTTTGAACTTAGCATGTCCTCATGCTGCAAGTCAGGAAACAACAGTTATTACCTTTTTTAATATAATTGAAGCCATTTATAAGTTATTTGCTCATTCAACAACTCGATGGGATGAACTGCAGCAGGAGCTTAAGATCTCTGTCAAGCGTGAATCAGAAACATGGTGGAGTGCAAGAGAAAAAGCAGTAAAAGTTGTACATGAAAAACTGGATGAATTGCTAGGACTGTTTGAGCAATTAAGTGAGAATGGCAACACGGCTCATAATATTCTGCAACGCATGCTTACATTTGATTTTCTTGTACTTTTGCATTTTTCGAGAATTCTTTTATCATCTATCAATCAAGTGCAGAAACGTCTTCAGGACCCAAAAATGAATTTTAGAGAAGCAGCTGCTGATCTTGATTCTCTGAAAGAGAAATTGATAGAATCACGTGAAAAGTCCTGTACAAAAAGCACTTAAAGTGGGCAAGAATCAATGTGAAACAAGGGGATTGACCATTGAAAGAAGAAAAATACATCGTAAACGAATGCCAGGTGAAAATGCAGCTCATGCTGGATTGACTGCTGAACAGGAAATTTATTGCATCATGAAGGATGTTATTGATTACAGAAATAACAGGATGAATTTCTTGCTTACTAGATTTAAACTCACAGTTTGGATTTCTACTAGATGTACAAAATATTGTTTCTGAAGAATTGCAAGAAAAATGTTCTAACTTGGCAAAGAACTATCCAGGTGATATTGATGGATCAGAATTGTACAGAGAAATTAAAGACTGTAGAATGTTGATAAATAAATAGACCGATTTTCCTGAACCAATGGTTGCAACTGATTTGCTAACATTTATAATTTCATAAGTTAAAGATATTTTCCCAAATTTAAGAATTGCATTGCAGATTTTGTTAACAATTGGGGTTTCTATTGCTAGTTGTGAAAGGTCCTTCAGCAAGCTGAAATTAATTCTTGCATACTTGAGAACCTCAATGACTCAAGAACGATGTAGTAACTTGGCAACATTAAGTATTGAAAAAGACGTACTTAATACCTTAAATTTTGATAGTTTAATTGATGCATTTACAGCAGCAAAAGCACGAAAGATTCATATATAATGTAACCCTAAATACCAGGATGCTACCTGTACAATATCTAGTTAAGTATATGTACAGTTTTGTAAACTAATAAAATTTGTTATTTGTAAACTTAAGTAGTATTTTATCAATCTGTTTTTTAATCTATGTACACCACAAGTGACTGGTTTCTCATATAACACATAAGTTTCAAAACTAGGGATGTAACAGAAATTTATTCTGCATGCTTGAAAGATTACTCTAGCTATGTGACTTTGAACAATACTGGATGACATATATATCAAAATGGTTTACAAATTATGTAAGTACACCTAGTAGGCTATACTTCATTAGTTCCAGGTTTACAGTTGTGATATCATGAGATGTTATATTGTGACTTTATTTTAGGCCCGTGTAAGTCGGTAATTAATTCTTAATGCTATTGTCATTAAGTGGGTAATGAGTCACAAAACAAATAATCAAAACATTTCAGAGGTGTGGGTGTCAAAAGTGTCTTTGCCCCCAGGTGCCGAGAACCCTTGCTACGCCACTGGATGTTTAGAAGTTTGAACATCTTCAATAAGTCTTGTGTAAGTATAATATAGTTCTGTATGATGTGATTGCTGAACATTTCTTCACTTTATATTGTTTTTGCTGAATTTGCATTATTAATTTTTACTTTAGCTATAACAGATACATAAAAAAATTATAATTTTGATCTTACTGCAAGCGTTCTAATTTCTTTAGTTGCTTGAAGCATTCTGTTGTTTGCTACGTCTTTTGTTTTCTTTTTTTTGGATAAATTGATTGGAGTTTTTAAAAATTTACTCTGCATTGAAATAATTAATTGTCAATGTGATATAAACAAGATCAGGAGCATTGCCTTTTTAATGTTTTATAGGCAGGACCCACTCATGGCTCATCAGTAACTACAATGTATCCACTAGAAGGCTATCAGAAGATGGCAATTATGAGGAATGTGGAGAAAATGCTGGTAGAAACACTAAAAGATGTAAATGAGGTGAGTTATAATACACCCGGAATCTTCATTGTAGGGGTTTATTTAAGGTTTATAAAAATTGCTTTAGCACTTTCTTGAATCTAAAAAAAAAAGAAACATTTTTCATTTGATGTTGAAATATGTGGAAATAAAATATCAGATACGTAAATATATAATCTATAAACAATTCTAGTCTTGGAACTGCAATATGTGCACCAATGTCACCATTATACAGTTTGCCACATAAACCATCAGGTCTAACATATATTCTAAGAATCCATCCAATAAAGGTACACAAATTTGCATGGTTACAACTACAATAATCCTTTGTATTGTACCTGTACTAAAAACTCTTAAGATTGTAACATAAGTTTGCATCAGTTTTGGTTGGGCTAGTTGGCAGGCATAAACCCAAATATATCCCCATGTTTAAATTTTTAGGCACAAAATTTCAACCTTATGTGTACACTAGTTTGGCAATAACAAAAAATCAAAAAATTGATATTAACAACCAATTAGACCTAATTCATTTTGTAATATTTTAAAACTGGCAAACAATTACTTTAAAAGCTTATTGGGTTTGTTTAGAAATACATCATAATAATATGCAAGTTATAAGCATTGAGGTAATATAGAATTGATGGAAAAAAACATCATTAATAAGAATCCATTTATGATAAGTAAGCATAACTGCAATTGATTGATGAATGTTCACAGGAGAAAAAATTGTAAATTAAACCATACTAGGAGTAAGTTTTCTTAGTCCACAGTAATTTTACTGATCATAATTATTTGCTAAATTATTAGTATAAAATAAAATGAACTTGTTATTAGCAAAAACGTTTGTATAAAACAATATTACTTTAATTGCATAAATATTAATTTTGAATCACACTTCAACATACAGGAAACAAAAAACCACGGTGCATTACATGGAATGTAACTTTAATGTGTGTATGTATTTATATATGCATTATCCTAAAAATATGCTATTTCTTATTTGCATTTTTTAAAATTGATACCTTTTATTTGCCAACAAATGAAAAAATCTGACTTGTAAAATGCAATTTGATGAGCAGTAGCTGAAACCATGCACATAAATTTGAACAACTAATACAGTTTAAAACAAGAGTGAGGCTAAGCTTTTGAGTGCGAAGATCTCTCAAGTCATGCATTCTGTTTGGGTTGTTTACCACAGATGGCTAACGAACTCCCACTGTGACTTATTGCTTTTTTTATGGTATACGTGTATAGTTTCACACTTCCTTGGTGTGCCAAATTGGTCTACTTCATATTTAAAGTGTTAATTTTTGTGTTTCACTTTTACTTAATCAGTATTGAAGACAAAATAAACATCTCACCAAAAGATTTTCCAACGACTTAAATATTTCTGAAGTAATCAATGATAGAACTATTGTCATCATTATTAAAAATGTGTTATTTATTAATGCAGAACTCTTCAATTTGTAGTTTTTTTTTTCTATGCTACATGTATTCTTTACTTACTTTTGGGGATTTTAGATTGAGAGAGGTTTGGCTGGCCATTCTAAATATCATTTTCTTTGTTAAGCTGTAGTAATCTAAAAGATTAATTATTTCAACAGATTACTTTCAGTTATGTTTCTTAATGTCATCATATACAGAGGAAATAGATTTTGCTGTTGCAAAAGATGCCTTAAACAATATGGTAGTTGGCATTTATCACATGCAGAAATATGATTGTTTGTTTTGAATTTCACGCAAAGCTACACGAGGGCTATTTGCACTAGCCATCCCTAGTTTAGCAGTGTGAGACTAGAGAGTAGGCAGCTAGTCGACACCACCCACTGCCAACTCTTGGGCTACTCTTTTACCAATGTATAGAGGGATTGAATGTCACATTATAATGCCCCCACGGCTGAAAGGGCGAGCATGTTTGGTGGGATGGAAATTCGAACCTGCGACCAGCAAATTGCAAGTCAAGTGCCCTAACCACTTGGTCATGCCGGGCTGCAGAAATATGAAAACTTCAAGTTTAATGCTTTAAGCTTTTTTAGTGCTGTGTGTATGTGTGTCACATTTCCAGGGAAAACTTCACATATTGCAACATATTTTAACAATTTTATAAAAATGTAGATATAATAATAGTTTCATACAGGTAATCTGCAATATGCCATTTGAGCATTTTCATGCAAATTGCAAGTCGACTGCCATAACCACCTGGCCATGCTGGGCTGCAGAAATATGAAAACTTCAAGTTTAATGCTTTAAGCTTTTTTAGTGCTGTGTGTATGTGTGTGTCACATTTCCAGGGAAAACCTCGTGTATTGAAAAATATTTTAACAATTTTATAAAAATGTAGATGTAATAAAAGTTTCATACAGGTAATCTGCAATATGCTGTTTGAGCATTTTCATGCTATGGCTCCCTCTGTTGTTCAAGTATTTAGTTATTTGTTTTAATAATTCTAGAACTTACAGTTTTCTTAGTTTGACGTCTTAGGTTTAGTCTGGTATTTTAATCTGAGTTATTACTTGATGAGGTAGAACAATTAATTTACAGCTGTTTATTCTGTTTCATACCTTCTGTTTATTTTGCATACATTTATATCTTGATCTGTGTAAATGCCAAGTTCTGTTTTATGTTTTTACAGGTTGGACCACTTCTTAGAGCAATTCTTGAAGGGAGATACACTTGAAACTTGCAGTTGATTTCAGAAGAACGTTTTTCACAACTCAAATCATCAGGGCATTTTTTATTTTATAGGGAAGGTTTTGTTATTACAGTAATTCTTTTAGTGTCAACATAAAATCCAGTTATTTAGTGTGAGACTTGCAGAATTATAATCTGAGTTATTCCACCCTGACTTGTATCAATTGACAGTCTTAAAAACTACAGAATTTCATTGTTAATGTAATTGTTATTAATGTTGTGCGAGTTTAATTTCTGCTTCTTTTTTCAAGTATATATTTAAAAATGCCTAAATTTAAAAGTTACACTTTAGGTCAACATATTACTATTTGAAAAAGTATAAAGCAGTAACAAGAGCTGAAAGGCTTTAATTTTAACTGATGACAGAACTGGTTTATTTTTTAAATAATTATTCTTTATAATGTAGCAGTGTAAGAATTTAAAAATACAAAATGTATCAGATTTTTCAATGTAGGAGAAAAATTACACTTTTTTATATTATTTAACAAATCGGATATTTTAAAAGGAGAAGATTGATATTAAACATGTTCCTTGTACCTCTTTGTGATAAACAAGTATTACTGAATACATTTAGCTACTTTAAGAATTGATTTTCATTGCATTTCCATGTTACAACCAAGTAGCTATTATTTCCTTAAAACCTGTTTTTAATATACAGTATTATTGTTAGTGTTACTGAATCTTTAAGTACACAAGTAAATATTTAGGGGAAAAAAAAAGAAACTGTGATTCAAACTAAACCTTTGTAAATATTGCCTAATATATGTGCTCAAGACCTATAGGACCCATTGGTTACTTGAAAAGTAATAATTTGAAGTCTTTACTTGTGTCTGAAAAAAAACAAGTCATTGATGCCTCATGTTCCTAGGCTTGTTAATGATTAATCCTGTTTATGATCAGTTTTTCACTCAGGATACTCACTGTCTTTCATTACCATCATTTCATTTATTATTTTTAAACTAATTTGCATATTTTAATTTAAATTGTGTGTTAACTTGACAAAACTTATGGAATTGAAAATTAAGTTGCTAGATTTTTATTTTGTGTGTTTTATGTTTACATAGTTAATTTGTCCCAAAATGCATCATTAATTGTGTTTTCATTTTTGATCTGCTACATAAGACTTGACATTTGAGTGATTCACTAGGAAAGTTGAACTGTTAATGAACACATTAAAGGTTTGATAGCTAGATGTATCATATTGCATTGTTGAACAGGAGCAAGTATGAGATTAAATAATTGAGAGAATTCAACCATTAACTATCTTTATGGATGATACCAGCACCAGTGGTACGAGTCATGGTTTTGTATAGTCAGCTGATTATATATCAAGTTATATTAAGATATATCAACTACCTGTGTATCATTGCTTCTGACTTGGAATTGTGACAACACCTTAGGGATGAGTCTTTTAATTTCATGTCTCCAATATCATACCTTTCAGCTGACATTTGGCTTTATTTGAGGAAAGAGGAAGCAGTGATCCTGAATTGACAACTTTTATCTTTTGATAATCAAAATTGAATTACTATAAAGAGACACATTTCTTCAGTTAATGTGAAGATATATTATGTATTTATTTCAGATTCTGTTAGATTTTTTTTATTTAAGTTTTCATTCATATCGTCTTTTTTTTTTTAATGACCAGGAATACTTGTTAGCATTGTGCAATGTAAATCATTTTCTCTTGTGAAGTTGAAACTGTTTTTGGAATAACTAACATGTTTTTTGTTATTAAATAAAAAAAAATCATGTATGTATGATTTCTATTTATTGATATAGTACCTTATGCATACTCAAGCATACATTGTATATTCTTCAGTTTTTATTTCTTAATAGAGCATACCAAACATCTCTTCCTGGAGATATATGAATCTCAGGCTTCAGTATTTTAATATGAGTGGGTGTAACTAGAAATAACAAGTTTTTTTAGATCTTGTTTCTTTTTACACTGTTTGATTGTAATGTAATTAAAATATAATACATGATGACTATAATGATGTTAGTAAGTAAACGAATATTATCAGCAAAAAATTGTTTGACATGTTAGTGAGAAAATATAGCTGTGGAACTAAATGTGAGCCATAAGATCTTAAATTTTACATTTCTGTTTCTGATTTGGAGAAACTTTGAATTGTCAAATTTTAAAACCAAAAAAACTGAGAAATGGAGGACAAATGTTTTAACGTTTTTATAAGATTTTAGTGTGAGGTAATGATTCATTTTTAGAAAATAGAAATAACTTTATCGACCCCCCCCCCCCCCAGTTGGTACTATCTAAATTTGCACGAAACTTTCATTACCAAAACTAAATATAACACAACCAAACAAGAATTACTTTAAAGTATTTATTTTACGCCTTCAAAAGGCCTATATATTTATGATAAACGCACTTTATACCCAAGATACCTTGTGTTTTTAATACAGCGAGTGAAAGTATTAATGATGATAAATCGCTAAAACTCGGGTTTCGATACCCGTGGTGGGCAGAGCACAGATAGCCCATTGTGTAGCTTTGTGTTTAACTTCAAGCAAACTTTATCCACGTGCATACTTGAAGACAGTGCAAGGTATCCCAAGTGGATTTAGCTTACCGTATTTTTCGGAATATAAGACGCACCCTTATTTTGAAGACAAAGTTTTGGGGAAAACTTGACTATACTAACTTTACTAACTCCATTGCTATAATTTATTTTTTTATTATTTAGGGAGCATTATGAATAGTTATGTTTTTAAAATAAAATAAAAACTACTATTTTTATAAATAACACATTCAGTTGAACTGAACTACGCATGCCTATTTAAATATATTTACACATGGCTTGTGTATATCGTATATATACATATATATTATTCATATCTTCGGTGTATAGGACGCAAGCAGATTTTGACATCAAATTTTGGGGTAAAAATAGTGCGTCTTATACACCGAAAAATACGGTATTTCATAATGCATGATATATTTTGATATAAAAGACTATCCTTACATTAAAATTCGACGTCCTACTAATAAGAAAAAAGAGAAGTACAAAACCCACAATATAAACCATAATCCATAAGATTATATTCGAGTCTACTGAAAAGGTAGGTGGTACAAAGCTACGAAAAATCTTTGCAACAGTCAGATCCTTACAGCAATAAGGATACATTGCTTGTTAAAGATTGTTTGTTGTTAAGTACAAAGCTATGTAACGGGTTATCTGTGCTTTGGCCAACTCTGGTATCGAAAATCGATTTTTAGCGTAATAAGCTCTCAGGCTTATCTCCGAGCCGCTGACGGCGACTGTTAATAAAGAGCAAAGCTAGAGTATACTTCAGGAGTATATGAGGTTGAGAATAAAAATCTCACTTTTTCTTCTGCCTGTAGTTTCTCCCGGTTTGCCCGGCATGACCAGGTGGTTAGGGCGCTTGACACGCAATCTGAGGGTCGCGGGTTCTAATCCTCGTCCCACCAAACATGCTCGCATTTTCAGCCATAGGGGCGTTATAATGTTACGGTTAATCCCACTATTCGTTGATAAAAATAGTAGCCGAAGAGTTCGCGGTGGGTGGTGATGACTAGCTGCCTTCTCTCTAGTCTTTCACTGCTAATGATAGTCTGCAACAAGTGGCATACTAATGTGGGTTCACAACCCCTTCACCCCCATTATTGATGTTATTAAGCATTTATTATCTTTGATGTAAGTCAACGTTAACTACATTCATAGATAGCACCACGTTCTTACGCCAAAGAAAAATATATATATATATATATATATTAAATTTGCCGTCCCCCTGTTGGGACAGCAGTAATTCTTCATATTTACCACGCTAAAATCAGGGGTTCGATTCCCTTCAATGGACACAACACATAGCCGATGCGGCTTTGCTATAACGTATACACAGTGTGGGGGAGGACACACGACCATGCCTTATATAAATCGGAGAGTGCACTAGCACTCTCTATGGAGGAATGCAATGAAAAAATGGCACCCACTATTGCAATAATACATAAACTCAGATGAAGTTGATACTACAACAGTCACCATAACGTTGAAATGAGGAGTCGTTTCTTGAGTTATACACACTTTCTACTTTAACCCGTGAACTTACAACCTCATCCCGTAAGACACTTCTGCGGCCAATGACCGTTAATTAATTAATAACGTGAAACAGGGGGGAAGGACATCAAGAGGTGGGTGTTGAAAGCGGGTAAATACAAAGCACCCCTACCGCCACTACTTTTCCGCTACCTCTTCGTATAGTCATCCTGACCATCACACAATGTATACCATGTTTTAAGCATATACATAATGAGTTCTTAAAGCTTATACAAACTTTTTGGTGAGGTAATAAAGAATACTGTAATAATATGTTATGTTATAAATAAATTGTGTGAAAGTTAGGATTTTTTAGTTATTTATCATATATATATATATATATGGCGAACATAGTGTGGTTGTAATACTATTATTTTTCACTATTCTAATTCTCTAAAATCCCAAAGGGATTAAAATTGTTAAATTTGTAATTGGCCTAATACTAACTTTTTATGACAAGCATAATCAATTATAATCATGCTTCGCCAGCATGGAAAAAAGCGTTCACATATATCACTTGTTGTTGTATCAAATGGCTTATATAAATAGTTTTCCGACCACAACTGTGTTTATTGTGTCCCAGTCGGTCTGGTGAGCTCTGGATTTAGCGAAATGCGTCTCGGAAATGGATATGGCGAACACAGTGTGGCTGGAATACACTCTTTAATTCTGTTCGTTTAGCCCATTTGCGCCTTAAGCGCCCCTCAGGGTGAAAATACCGAAATACTATTAGCTGCTTATATAATATAATTACACTC